TTTTTTTTTTTTTTTTTTTGTCATCGTTGTGTGTACCATAAAGCAGTTGCTGTTCGTAACCATACAAGAACAATTTTTTTTTATCCTTTTCATCGAAGTTTGTTCTAAGGGGAAAGGGAAGAGGAAAAGGCAGAACAGCTTTTGCGAAGAGAACGAGGAATTTTCTTTCCTTTCTTTTTTATGTTCACATTAACTGTGTGTTTTTATAAATTGTTGCAGAGCTCTCTTCCGTTGTGTATTTTCAGCGGTTGGGGGGAGTTAGCCGGGGAAGGCGCTCGCCCCCCCTCTTAATGCTGCCATAGGCAGCTGTGCCATTGGTGTAGTTCCATATTCCCCAAGTACGCTTTTCTCATTCGTTTGGTAACCTGTGATCCTCCATATTTTTATTATTATCAGACGCCTTGCTCATTTTGTGGAAGGCAATTTTGGTTGTGTAGTTTGCTTAAGAGTGGGTTCTTGGGGCACGGAAAAAAGATGGCTCACACACACACATGCATGTGTAGCAGCGGATCGCGTGGGTACGTCCGTGTGGATATATACGTGTAGGTAAGCACGTATCTATATGGTTTTATCAGAAGGCGGAAATCACAAAACAAATGGGAGAAGAGAATTTGCCCTTGTTATTCTACTTTGAACTCTGGAAGGGCTGCAGCGGCGTAACGGGTGTGCTTATTTTACTTATTCTATTTTAATGATATACTTTTTTTTTTTTTTTTGAAAATTTCTTATTTTCCCTATTTTTCTTTTTTTCCGCTTTTTCTTTTTTGTTTCTTCTCCCCCATGTGTGCCTCTCTACATTTATGTGACTTTTGTCAACGATATATATTAAGCATTAAATTTGTTCTTAGCAGTTTACTGCCTACATATATTTTTCTCTTACAAAATAAATGCTTTCACTTTTTAGGGAGAAAAAAAAAAAAAAAAAAAAAAAAAAAAAAAAGTTGTCACGTTCATCTTTTTAGATTTAATAAAAACGCATAAAAAATTGAAGGCGCGGTGGAGGCGGAATCAGC